CAAATGCATCTTCTTTTTGAAACGACTGAACCAACCCTACTTGCACAAGTTCTGCATCATATTGATCTTCATTTGTTGTAGTTGCAGCTTTTAAACCATAGAAAAGGCTTCAAAGCCTCTTCTTGCACTAAAAACAAAACAATAAAAACTCACTCCCATTGAATCAATTTGGACTCAGTGCAACACTTTGGACAGAATTAACTCACCCATAGGGTTTCTGGGTCTATAAACATTGAGGAAAGCCAACTGACTCATCTTTCTCCCAAAGAGTGAATAGTGAATTAAGACCTTTAGCTTTTTGATTTACATCTTAATGAATGCTTGATCCATAGTGTCCTGAGGGTCCCTCTGAATCCAGATCAAAGTACAGGTAGCTCCCTGTCAATGTACTGTCACAATCAAATTTAAATTATCTTCAGCAAAATTTTACTTGCTTATAGCATTAATATTGTTCAATGGTTTCTGAGTTCTGTTGGGTCACCTTTCTTTTGAATGGGCACAAATATAGATCTTGTCCAATCAGTTGGCCAGATACTTCCAATTTTCTTGAAATAGATGCCTTTATTTCTGCATCAAGTTCTTGAAAGATTGCAATTTTGTATTCTGCCAATTCCTAGAGCCTTGTTTTTTTGACAATGCCTTCAGTACAGGTTGGATTTCCTCTTTCAGTACCATCGGTTCTTGATCATATGCTACCTCTTGAAATGGTTGAATATACACCATTTATTTTTTATACAGTGACTCTGTGGATACCTTCTATTTTCTTTTAGTGCTTTCTGCATCATTTAGTATTTTACCATGGAGCGCATTAATATTACAAGTCAAGGCCTGAGTATTTCCTTCAGTTCTTGCAGCTTGAGAAATGCTGAGCATGTTCTTCCCTTGTGCTTTTCTAAATCCAAGTCTTTGCACATTTCATTATAAAACTTGGCTTTGGCTTCTCAAGCTGCCCTTTGAAATTTTCTATTTGACTACCTCATTTATTTCCTGTTGCTTTAGCTTCTCTACACTCAAGAGCAATTTTCAGTTTCTTCTGACATCTGTTTTTCTCTTTTTCTTCTTTCCTTTATTTTAAATGACCTTTTGCTTTCTTCCTATACGATGTTCTTAATATCATCCCACAATTCTCCTGTCTTCAGTCTTTAATGTCTAACGCATCAAATCTGTTCTTAAGGTGGTATTAATTTAGGTCTCGTGGACTTGCTTTAATTTTCTTCAGCTTCTGCCTGAACTTACATGCAACCAATTGATTATCTGCCCCTGGTCTTATTTTGGATGATGATATTGAGCTTGTCTACTTGCTCTTCCCATAGGTGCTGTCTCGTTTTTTTGTTTGTTTTTCTTTCTTTCTTTTTTATTCCATCTGGTGAGGCCCACATGTATAGTTGCCTTTTATGTTTCTTAAAAGAAAAAAAAAAAGGTATTTCCAATATATGTCACTGATACTGTTAAGTGTTGTTAAGTCAATTCTGACTCATAATGACCCTGTGTTGGGTTTCCAAGGAGCAGCTGGTGGGTTTGAGCAGCCGACTTTGTGGTTCAAACTCCAATGTTGATCCTACAGCAAAACAGTCATTAGAATTGCAAAATTCTATTGTATTATCTGTAGAATCATTTCTATCACTAGTAACTAAAAATCCCTAAGTGTACGGGGACTCTAGGATATAATATAACACACATATTTAGGATAGACTTGAAGTAAATTTGTGTACAATGAAAATTAACTAGTTACCACAAAGTTGCTTCTCAAGAAGCATTTTTACATCAAACAAACAAATAATCCATAATCTGAAACTTTTTGAGATAATTTAAGCAGTGAGGAAAATTTTTTCACTATTGATTTTTAAAAAGTAAGACTATATGAGATTTCATTTTATTTGCATAACATTTATTCTTAATGAGCTTTCCAGTGTGTACAAAGCCATTTGTTTATTTTTCTCAAAGTCATGTTTCATTTTTCATGTATAAAAGAAATGACAAAGACAAAAAGAGAGAAGTCTGACATCCTGGCTTTAGTAGCAAGAATGTTTATTTTGTATTTGTTATCGGAGTTCTGGTGTGATGCTGTGGGCTAGTGCGTCAAACTACAAAGTCATTTGAACTGAAAGGTCAGTGGTTCAAACCCACCAGCTAAACTTATACAGGGTCGCTAAGGGTCAAAACCGACTCGAAGTCACTTCACAACAATAATCACGTCCTAAACCTAACTTTATATTTGCATTCGTATTTTCATTATGAACAACAGTTCAACACAGTAGGTAAAATATATGAAAATAGTCCACTTAAAAATAATACAGTAGAGAAGCTAGAAATAATATATAAATAATTCAAATATTTTAACTACTTATGAAAAAGATGCTGGTGGTGGTTATGTGCCGTGGAGTCAGGTCCTACTTACAGCGACCATGTATAAGGTTTCCGAGGCTGTAAATCTTTACGGGAGCAGAAAGTCTCATCTTTCTATCGCGGAACCCCTGGTAGTCTCGAGCTGTTGTCCCTGAGATTAGCAGCCAGACTTATAACCACTAGGCTACCAGAGCTTCTTGAAAAAGATGTTTGTTGTTGGTGATGTTAAGTGCCGTATAGTCTGTTCTGACCCATAGAAACCCTGTGTAGGGATTCCAAGGAGTGGCTGGTGAGCTTCAACTCCCGACCTTGAGGTTCAAACCGACTTTGCAGTCCAGTGCATTAACCCACAGTTCCGCTTATTGGAAAGCACAAAATACTTTTAGTTTGGCAAATTATCTTAAAAACTTGCCAGTATTTATTTCATTTGATTCATGCTTTAGATACAAAGATGTTGTGAAACACCATATCAAGAAACCCTTGGAAATAACTGAAGCATCTACAACAGGAATCCTCTACAACAGGAATCCCGGTGTGGTGCTGTAGGATAGATGTTGTTGTTGTTGTTGTTATGTGCCGTGGAGTCAGTTCAGACTCATAGGGACCCTGTACAGGGTTTCCGAGGCTGTAAATCTTTATGGGAGCAGAAAGCCTCATCTTTCTTCCGAGTAACAGCTGGTAGTTTCGAACTGCTGACCTTGTGATTTGCAGCCCGATTCGTAACCACTATGCTACCAGAGCTCCTTGTAGGATAGATACTGAACTGTTAATCACAAGGTTAGCAGGTCAAAATCACCAAGGGTTCCATGGACACCCTTACAGAGTCACTATAAGTCAGAGCAAACTCAATAGCACAAAATAACTGCAACAGAATCTATTGAGTTTATTGAGACTAGAATGGCGACCTTGGGTTTCTGAGTCAGAAAATATATGAATTTAAAGTCAAGCTGTACTAAAGACAGGCTGTCTGACCTTGCTTTTAGGTGCTTAATCTCACTTTAAAATGGACATAATTAGATTATTTTTATCATAAGGAATTGATAGGAAAAAGTGAAGTAAATAAACACCTATGAGCATAATATTGTGTCTTTCAAAAAGTTACCTACTTTTAGTCTTTTCATTATTAAGGTCACTTTCTGTGTTAAGTGATGGAAACTAAATAGAAGAATATGCTCTCTGCATGGAATGTATGTGGAAGCTGTGTCTGCACAGGACTGAAGGCCAATCTCTGTCAAGATGATACTACCAAGGAAGCCTCAATCAAAACAATAGTTTAAATTTTAGGAAAATTAAGGCTCAATTTTAAATACTATAATATACAAGCATTTTGACTAAGCACAAGTTGTTGAGGATTGACTTCTGCTCCACAGTTTTACTTGACTGTTGTAAAATGATGAATAACAAACTCTTGACAATTCAACATTTCTCTCAGCTGTGATTCAGTGACACCAAGTATATTAATCATGTAATGAAACCATCACAAATATCTGTTGCCAGATTTCCATCACATAAACTTATACATAATTCTTCCTAAATAGTGACTTACTTTTCCTTCCTTCCCCTAATCCTTGGTTGTTGTTGTTGTGAAGTGTAGGTAAGTTGATTCCAACCGATAACGGCCCTGTATAGGGTTTCCGAGGAGCAGCTGGTGAGCTTGAACTGCCAACCTTGCATTTCAAACAGATTTGCAGTCTGGAGCATTAACCCACAGCACCACACCAGGACTCCCTGGTTGTTGTTGTTGTTAGGTGCCATCTAGTCAGTACCAACCCATAGTGACCTTATGCACAGCTGAACAAAACACTGCCCTATCCTGGGCCAACCTCACTACTGTTGCCATGCTTGAGTCCATCAATGCTGCCACTTGGGCAATCCATCTCTCTGGGGGTCTTCCTCTTTTTCTCAGACCCTCCACCTTACCAAACATGATATCCTTATCCAGTGACTGGTCCCTCCTGACAATATGTCTGAAGTATGAGAGACAAAAATTTGGCCATCTTGGCCTCCAAGAAGCACTCTGGCTGCACTTCTTCCAAAATGGATCTATTGGTTCATTTGGCAGCCCATGGCACTGACTCCCTGGTGACCACTATCAACTTCTGTTCTCTATACATTTACCTATTCTGGGTAGTTTACATAAGTGGAATCATGTAGAATTTACCTTTTTGTGATTGCCTTACTCCACTCAGTGTAATGTTTTCAAGGTTCATTCCTGTAGTAGCATGCAGAATGATCAAGATTTCACTTCTCTTCGTGATTAAATAGTATTCCATTATGCTATTTGTTTACAGTCATGAGCCGGCAGAGGCATATAACAGAGTTTTTAACCTTTGCATATGCATTGATTTTGTGGGGAAAGAAATTCACCTTTCCAAAAAATATTACTATTTGTTCTTAGCATTATTCCCTGGCAATGACTAAACTAATATTTTTTTTAATATTGTTGTTGCTGTAAAGTGCCATCAACTTGGTTCTGACTCATAGCAACCCTGTATAGAGTTTCCAAGGAGCAGCAGATGGTGGGTTTGAACAACATGTTCATATTGGCAATTAAAACTCTATTCAGAATATTATATGAAATGACTATTTATACAAACAGCAACTTGAAGTTAACTCTCCTTTCTTCTCCTCATCCAGATGTTCTGAAGAAACACATGGCTCAGATAAATTGCACCCAGGTGACAGAATTTATTCTTGCTGGCCTCACAGATCGCCAGGAGCTGAAGATGCCCCTCTTTCTGATATTCTTATCCATCTATCTTTTCACAGTAGTTGGCAACCTGGGTTTGATCTTAGTCATTAGAACAGATGCAAGACTCAACACACCAATGTACTTCTTTCTTAGTCACCTGGCTTTTGTTGACTTCTGCTACTCTTCAGTCATTACACCCAAAATGCTTGGAAATTTCTTGTACAAAGAAAACAGTATCTCCTTCAATGCATGTGCTACTCAGTTAGGCTGTTTCCTGGCTTTAATGACAGCCGAGTGCTTGCTGCTGGCCTCTATGGCCTATGATCGATATGTGGCCATTTGTAACCCATTGCTTTACATGGTGGTGATGTCTCCAGGAATCTGCCTTCAGCTCGTAGCTGCTCCCTATAGCTACAGCTTCTTGGTTGCACTGTTTCATGCCATCCTTACCTTCCGTCTATGCTACTGTCATTCCAATATCATTAACCATTTTTATTGCGATGACATGCCCCTCCTTAGGCTGACTTGCTCAGATATTCACACCAAACAGCTGTGGATCTTTGCCTGTGCTGGTATCATGTTCATTTCCTCCCTTCTAATCGTCCTTGTCTCCTACATTTACATTATTTCTGCTATCCTGAGGATGCGCTCTGCTGAAGGCAGGCGTAAGGCCTTCTCCACATGTGGCTCCCACATGCTGGCAGTCACCATTTTCTACGGGACCTTAATATTTATGTACTTGCAGCCCAGCTCAAACCATTCCCTGGACACAGACAAAATGGCGTCTGTCTTCTACACAGTGATCATTCCCATGCTGAACCCTTTGATCTACAGCCTCCGGAACAAGGAGGTGAAAGATGCACTAAAGAAAATTGTCATCAGTAAAAACCAGGTCTTGGTGTTCATAAAGCTTAAAAAGTGACTTGAATAAATAAAAATGGACTTTTCTTTACGGTCTGATTTTATCTTTATATTAAATACATAGCAGAACGCTTCTTAAAAAAATAGGTGATAAGTATACATCTGTTAACTTCACATGAAATTATTTTCTAGAGACTCATAAAAAATGGCATTTCATATGTGTTGTTGTTAAGTGCTATCGAGTTGGTTATGACCCATAGCAACTCCATATAGAGTTTCTGAGGAGCAGCAGGTAAGCTTGAGATACAAACTGACTTTGCAGTCCACCTCATTAACCAGGTGCCACACCAGGACTTAAGGAATCAGATTATAGCTGCACCATCTTATGGCTAGTACTATATGTGAATTATAGTACTGAAAATACAGTAAATATATATAAATATACTCTATTTACAGTACTATAGTTCACATGTAGTAGTAGCCAGGAGCTCTGGTAGTGTAGTGGTTATGAGTCGGCATGCTAACCTCAAGGTCAGCAGTTCGAAACTACCAGCTGTTACATGGGAAAAATTTGAGGCTTTCTGCTCCCATAAATATTTACCATCTCAGAAACCCTATACAGGCTCACTATGAGTTGGAACCGACTCCACGGCACACTACCACCACCACTACCATAAGAAGTTGTAGCCATTTTCTGATGTCTCAAGTAGAAAATATTTTGGCAGACAATTTATTCTCTGGTTCATAATGATTTATACAATGGCTCTTGTTTCTAAAAAGCACAATGCATAAAAATGACTAAGTATTCATATATACAACTAAGTATAGATAGAGCAAGGATAATAGTTCATGCTCAGTTCAGAATTCTAAGGCTGCTCTGAAAACATATTTCAAGTAAAAATCAAAGACACATATTCCAAGTCATTTTTCCTGATTTACAAACTTCTTTGAAAATGTACAGCCATATCACACTGGTTCATATGTATATTTTTAACAAACACTTTTATTAAAGAGAACAATATTCTTCCAACACAAAGTAGAGGTCAACAAAATAAGGAAGACCGTCAATGAGATGGATTTCT